AATAGTTTAATTATTGGAAATACATCGATGAGGGTTGCATAGTGACTCCTGGTTTTGGAATGTCCACAGAAATCCAAATTCGGCGTAGTTTTAAATTTAAAATTACCGGCTAGGGGACAGCATCGTCCCGGTTTCTGATTGGTCAATTTAGAATTAACATTCCCCAAACACCACATTGTGATCTGCGCAGCTTCGAAGTGTAGAATTTTGGCAGACGATAGGGGTGTAGGTAGATCTGGTTGTCTGCCCATTTTGGCATCCCTGTCAACCTCACTTCAAGACGTGATTTCACCAAACTGTTGCTCTCGGCAGCACAAAACGCTCGACAGTTTGGATACCACGTGCCGCCCGACATGAGCTCGAAGGGGATTTTTTGATCGTACACGAAAAGTGGGTCAAGCGCGACAGATGGCCAGTGAAAGACCTCGTGTCTTGCCCAGACAATCTACGTCATCGCCTGCATCAAGGAACGTTCCCTCAAGGAAAGCTTTTATTGTGTCTTTCATGGTCTGCCGTAGTGGCATTTGCATCACGACCAGTATCTTATGCGCGCTTCTCAGAATCGATGTCAAGTCATTTGATTTATCGTGGGTGGATGCCTTAGAGCGGACAGAAAAAAATCCGTTTGCTTCACTCACTCTTGTCAAAAACGTTTACCAAAATTTGGAAAAAACGTCAAAGTGGCATCACTTTGGAAATGTGTCAATCGCTTCAAACGCGATAAGTTATCGTCCGTGTGTGATATCGATTTGAGGGCAGCGCTATCTAGCATAACTGGCCACGTGGCTCTTGAGTGAGCCAGACTAGACGAACACCCAAACAACGCCCGCTTCACTTTGACGGACTGACACATTTTTATCGCAGCCCGGCATCTCCGCGTTGAAAATGCTTTGTGAGTCAAGCCAAATCGGCGACGTCGTGGCGTTGATTAATCACATTTGTGCGATGCCTCGTCAAGTGATGAGTCGAAATCCACGATTTCAATGACCAGTGCCACCGTCCCTCCAGTGGTTCGTGGAAGCCGCTTCTGGGTTCGTGGATGAACGCGACAATCGCAGTTCTTTATGCATGGTTTGGATGGCTTGTGGGACGACTTCTTGTGAAGGAAACGGGCTTCAACGGCGAAGCCTAGTTTTTCAGGGCGATGGGATTGTGTATTCCCAAGCATCGTTCCGCCTTACTACTACTGGTGAAAGACCAGTACCTGCTAGTGCCTCAGCATATCTGCGCATATCGTTGATCTGGAGAACTGTTCCAGTCTGCGATCCATCTACGGAGTTGTTGACTGCGATAGACGGGTGGGACTGAATAGTTCTGACTTTTGTGGGAATCCATGAGCAGGGGTATCGCGCCTGGAGCCTGAGGTCGTTGATTGATGCAAGATAGGCACTACTTGAATGAAAAAAAAACGCAAATCCGACTCCCCCCCCCCCCAAAATACGCGGTAAACAATTGACTTGTCCGTTTTTTTGGACACTGACCAAGGTCACTGCGTAGGTC